ATTAGCGTTGTAAATCTGTTTAAGCGAGCACTTCAGACATACCTTTCCAAACAAACATTTTATTATAAAGCAGACTATTGTAATTAAAATTTTCAATTTTACTAGCACAAGGATTTTGCTTTGCAGTTAGCTCGTTCAATAACATATGTATGTACGCGCATTTAAAAATGTAAAGTTGTTATTGTTGTATGAATGTGCACTACAGAAAAAAATTATGGTTACACCAATGGTTTACTAACGATGAGGGTCTCCCAGGGGTTTTGGGGAACAAGGGAGCATGAACCTATTTTTAGGGAACAGGAGGAAAAAACTGTACAAATTAGAGGACGAAAACATTTTGATATAAGAAATAAAGAGCGCTATTTCTGAGATTTTATTTATGGTCATTTATGCCCCACTGTCATTGGTTTCATTACTTTACACAAGAGATCACAATTTTTTTGTGTTTTGCGTGCATAGTTCAGAAAAGACAATTAGTTCAGTGACCACACAACAGTTCAATAACCACGCCAGTAGCTGCCTCGTACCCAGACGTCTCTCTTTAAAAAGTGCGCGCAAAGGAAGGCAGGAAGGAGACAACGGGCGAGACGTCGCTTCCCCTGCCGTTTGTACCCTTCCCATGGTCCCTTGTGGTTCATCACCAGTCACTTGTTTCGCGCTCGCCTCTGCTATGCGAAAAACGAAGCGCCTGAGGAGGAGGCTGCGCCAGTAGTTCAATGACCACACAAGCAGTTCTACATGCAGCTGTGGGGGAAATAGCCACAAATGATCACAAATACGTTAGATTTTTTAATGTAAATGTGTAGCATTAACTAAAGTGGTAAGTACTCATTTAACGATGACACAAAAACCAAACTTAGAAATATAGCCATGACACAATGCTATTTAGTTCTAGTGAGCTCGCTAAAGAAAACAGGAACATAGACGGATGATAACTTTAATTTAAAAGTCAAATAGTCTGCTCAGAAGGTTTGTCATCCTCATCAGGGGCACAGTGAACAGAACTGGAAGGAGAGTCAGCGATGAAAAGGAGAGGGCAAGAAAGAAAACGACATACTAAACACTGAATAAACCGACAAACCATGCGCTAGAAAGCAGAAGAATACAACGGTTAACGGTGGAGAAAATCTTGTTTTTTGACTCTCTTTCCGCACGTTTCAAATCTGTGGTACCACAGCTAGTCCTACTTGAGTCGACTACCATCAATCCATGTTTAACAAATAGATATTTTTTAACCGCACAAGTCCTGAATTTCCAACTTTCCTGGGTGCTTCAAACTTGAAAATCAGCTGTTCTGTTTCCTGAGCATATTTCAAAAGCCTTTCGATACGATGTCTGTGCACATAAGAGATTATAACAGTTTCAGGCAGTTTCCAGGACGTCTGCCGTTCGCAGACTACCCTGGAACGGTACCAACAGTTTTTTTCCAAGACGAAATAGAAATAAAGTTTCAAATTTGTCTAACTCACCGCAGCTTGAATAAAAGCCGCAGTACATTTTTTAGATACAATGTAGTTTGCATATTTTGTCTTTATCTTCTTTGGAGTAAGAAAACTGAACTGGTGAAAACGAGCCTCGCGTTGCCGCATAAACACTTGGGCACCAAGATTATTGTGACGTAAATGATTGCGCGCGAAAGTGCACGGCGATTGCCGGTTGAAGAAATTGCGCGTGATGTGCAATGTCGTAAGCCCACGAGTAAAGAAAACATAGTGCGGTCATCCTGCTGGCACTGCTTTAGTTAAACATTTTCATCATGAGCTAGGCCAAAAAATTTATAAATAAGTAAAAAAGGAAAAAAGGTGCTAAAGATGATAATGAAATGTGACGGGGTTATACAACCATGAAACCCCGCCCAGAAACATCCCTTTTTTTTTACAAGCATTCAATAGGATGCCTGGTGCACGAGTGCCACTCGAAAATAAAATTCATATCTTCGCGCCACCGTGTACGATCCTCTATTTAATTCATAAGTGGTAAGCAAATTTATTAAAAGGGGAGCAAATAAGGAAAATGTGCGGGAACATGGGAACATAGGGCAATTTTCGAAGGGAAGAAGGGAACAAGAACCCCGCCTGGGAGACCCACAACGATTTTAAAAATTTCATTTATAAGTAATAGAAACGAATAAAAGAAGAATAAAAATTGAATTAAAGAGGGAAAATTAAAGGTAATAGAGAGTAAGTCTGACGTTTAAATTCAAAAAGGACGAAAACTTTCAAGATGACTGGGAGCTATATCTGTCTATTTTAAACACATAACAATGTACATGATAATATGTTAACTTAACGTGTTCGTGCGAAAGGATAATTGCACAATTATCCTCTCGGGTGATAATGTGCTACATGATATAAATATTTACGATGATTACTATAAATTCCAAATTATTTTGTTATGGAGAGACATGTACAAAAAGACGCGTATTGCTTGAGTGATCCTTAAATTTCTGTGAACCAGTAAATTTTCATCGGCCACCGGGCCAATTACATTTTGGATTATAAATAAGTTATGGTTAAATCGGTCTCCCTTTTTGTTCCTCCAAAATATCTCTCTCGTTTGAATAGTATCAAAACAATCTCCACAATGAGATAAAATACCATTTCGCTTTCTGCCAAAAATGCAAATTTCAGTTTCCAAATTACTTTGTTGGTAACAGTCATATAGATTGGACTGTTGCTGCCATCAGCAGAACTTAGGAAAGAATTTTAATAATCAGAGGCGTTTCAACATCTGTCAAACGTAGCTAAGACAGTTTAAGTTCTTGGTGGACATAGATGTTTACAGTTTTGTAATGCAGTTTTCTTTAGAATATTTTCTCCTTGATCATGAGATTTACCGTCAAACTCGTAGTATTTGGACTGTTGTGCATGTTTTCGTATGGTAAGTACGTTGAAAAATGACATGTAACTGATTCATGTTTTGTATTGACAATTTTTCGCTTTGAAAATGTGTCTGCGGGTTTTTTCTTCAGTTAAAATTAAATAGTATAACTCACATAAGTTACAATGCAAAAGTAAATCAGTAGTACAGTGTATACTTGATGTCTTCTTTTAATTATTATTTGACTGCGAAAAATACGCCGCTGGCGCTGAGTACCTTAATCCAACCAAACCTAGACTGCAAAACAGTCCGTATTTTTGCGTATTCAAGTACGGGCGAGCAGTCAAACAAAAGGTCTGGAACGAGGCTGAAAACAGAGAGTGAGAGTGGGGAGAGACGCTAAAAATACGGACTGTCCGTTTTGCATACGTTATATTCGTTCGAATTACCCGTTTCTCCCAGCCACGGGCAGTTCCCATTGGCTAAATTTCGATGCAAGCTTTCACCAAGCTGTCAAGTAATGTTTTCAACAAGTCATTCGCGATATTCCCTACCGTGATGAATTGTTAAAGCTTTCCCTGTAAAATCGGTGTTTAGACAATGGCTAAATTTTGCAATAATTTTTGTCTACAGACATAACAAAAAATTAGCCGTTAAGTCACTTTGTATTATTATTAAAGAAAAATTTACCCATTAATTAACGGCTAAATTTTACTATTTTTACTAACCAAAAATTTAGCCAATACAAACGAAAAATTTAGCCATTACTTAACGGCTAAATACTTGCCATACATATAAGAATACTGCTAAACTTAGCCGTTAATTAACGGCTAAATATTTCCGATATATATAAGGATACTGCTAAACTTAGCCGTTATTTAACGGCTAACCATTTCCCACTATATAAGTGTCATACCTTTTTAGCCGTTAATTAATGGCTAAATATTTTTACTATATAAGTATCATGCATTTTTAGCCGTTAATTAACGGCTAAATATTTCCGATGTATATAAGGATACAGCTAAACTTAGCCGTTTTTTAACGGCTAACCATTTCCCACTATATAAGTATCATGCGTTTTTAGCCGTTATTTAACGGCTAAATACTTCCAAAACATATAAAGAGACAGCTAAACTTAGCCGTTATTAAACGGCTAAATATTTCCAATACATATATGGAGAGGAGGTTATTATATATTGTTGAAGACGAGGTTAATGGTGATGGGGCTAGGCGGTTCATACAAATACCGCACGATGGAGCTTAATAAAGGGGTTTAAATGCCCCAACCCTGGACAACACCAAAATTGCATTTCCAGGAAATCACCTGCAAATGCCATAATTATAGGAGCCATTATTGAGTGATGAAAACCTGACAGTGAAGCACCCTTCGCAAATCGATCTTACCCGCTATTTTTTATTATTCACAAATTCCCCACCACCTGACAGAAAGGCCCGGGGCGGGTGGGAATTGAGTGAGCCGTAGGAGGTACAACTTAGCCGTTACTTACATACAACCACGATACGGGATAATCAATTTATCCTTTAATGAATGGCTTAATATATTCCACGTGTATAAATGGGAGTTTCAACTTAGCCGTTAATGCTCCACACCATAGGTTGTTGTTTTCTGAAGTCATCCTGATTAAAAATGAGTCATTTTTAATCAGTCGTCATTTGATACTATACTAAAGGCGCTTTCCAAAAGTCAGAACTGCGTGGCCGGCCGGACCATGGCCGGACCAGACATTTCGACATTGAAATAGGCTTTTTAATAATAATAATAATAATAATAATAATATTTAATACTTATATTGCGCTTTTTCTATAAAAATACTCAAAAGCGCATTACAATATTATTAATAACTAAATTAAAAACCAGTAAAATTACCCGGTAAAATTACAATATTTAAAAATAAATAAATAAATAAATAATCAAACTAAAAGCCTTCTTAAATAAATATGAAGGCTTTTAGTTAGATTAGTTATTTATTTATTTATTTTTAAATATTGTAATTTTACCGGGTAATTTTACTGGTTTTTAATTTCTAAGAGTTTTTGCTGAAACACCATCTCCTTCGTGTACACTATTTTGAAATGGATAATTTTCTCAAAGTTAAATTGTCCTTATGTCCTTATGACGGAAATGGTGTGGCCGGTCGGTCAGTTCTGACAAATGGAAATTACCCTAAGATATCTTTTAATGTGGCATAGTGAAATAGAAATTGTTCACTGTTGGGTTGCCGTTCTCTGTTGCTTCTCTGTTTCTTCGTTGTTGATTTTGTTCCAGTACTACCTCCATTCTGCCGCCTGTCTGTTTTGGGTACTAGGGGCCCGTTTCTCGAAAGTCCCGGTAACTTTTCGGGCCCGAAATCAAATATTCAGATCGAAATATAAAGAATAAGAGCGCGGGCCCTGGCAAGGAGACTACTCCATTTTGTTTCACTAACTGATAGTTTTATCATGCTAGATGCAAAACTATTGAAACGTCGATCTTTAATGTAAACGGAGACAGCTTACCGGGCCCGTTAATTATCGGGACTTTCGAGAAACGGGCCCCTGGGCTCGAACATGCCCAAATTCACGGCATTTAATGTGTGGTCCGGTGAGAAGGGAGGGGCAAATTTCGTCGTTCTCTCTTTGAGGCCGTTTAGAATTAAATGTCAAATTACTGAACCTCCCCAGCCTCTCCCCCGCGCGGTCCCTATAGTTCGTACATAATAAGCCGTTATTTAATGGCTAAGTTGAACCTCCTAAAGAATATGGCTAAGTTTGACCTCCTTAATGTATATATGTTGAAAATATTTAGCCGTTAAATAATGGCTAAGTTTGACCTCCCTCAGGTATATATTGGAATTATTTAGCCGTTGATTAACGGCTAAGTTAAACCTCTACAAACAAAAAGGAAATATTTAGCCGTTAATTAGCGGTTAAGTTTGACCTACTTTCTAACCTATAGTGAAATTATTTAGCCGTTAATTAACGGCTAAGTTTAACTTCCTACATATATAAAATGAAATGTTTAGCCGTTAATAAACGGCTAAGTTTTAACTGCTATACATATGTGTATAAGGAATATATTTAGCCGTTAATTAATGGCTAAGTTTAACCTTCTTTCCATTTATATGGAAAATGTTTAGCCATTAATTAATGGCTAAGTTTAACCTTCTTTCCATATATATAGGAAATGTTTAGCCGTTAATTAATGGCTAAGTTTAACCTTCTTCTTTTTATATATCTAGGAAATTTTTAGCCGTTAATTAACGGCTAAATGTTACCTACTCTACATATATAAAAGGAATATTTAGCCGTTGATTAATGGCTAAGTTTAACATTCTTTACATACAAGGAATATTTAGCCGTTAAATAATGGCTAAGTTTAACCTTCTCCTTATGTATAGGAAATGTTTAGCCGTTAATTAATGGCTAAATTTTACCTACTCTACATATATATAGGAGGAATATTTAGCCGTTAATTAATGGCTAATTTTCATTTACTACATATGTAGAGGAAATGTTTAGCCGTTAATTAATGGCTAAATAATTTCTATAAGAAGGAAAATATTTAGCCGTTAATTAATGGCTAAATTCTCGGTTTGTAGAATATACAAAGTGACTTTATGGCTAAATTTTTGTTATAACTGTAGTGTGAATTTATTGCAAATTTTGCAGTTATATATACACCCCTGTAAAATGAAGGATGTTGATGCCTGGATTTGCTCGCAAGAATTGGGATTTGTTTTAAGATCGGAGCAGAGGGAAGCTTTGGAGTTGCTGCTCAGGGAAAAGGATGTTTTCTGTGTTCTACCAACAGGATTTGACAAAAGCCTTATTTATCAGATGTTTGTTCATGCCAAGAGACAAGAGTTCTTCAAATTCCGTGCAACGGCCAACCGTCATTGTTATCTCGCCTGGCTAAAAAAGGGAGATCGGTAGGAAACACACGACTTTTACCTCATGCAAAAATGCTGCTTGTTCCAATGAATCAATTTCTCTGTCGAGTAGATTATGCTTCGGAGGAAACATTTTGACTGAGCAAATGTGAATTTTGTCCGCTTATTAAATATATTTCATACTGAGAGGTCGTGACACGCATATTGATTTTCTCTGGTCATGATTTGCCCTCTGATGCAAGAGCATTTTGGCTTGGCCCCTTTAGAAATGCAAAGCTCTTCATTGTGACTGATTAAGGGTTTTTTGTTGGTTTATTTCTCCAAAGTGCCTCCTGGATTTGAATAATTTTAAGTGATTTTCTTTGTGTCTGTGAATGTGTCTTTTTCCTGTAATGTTTTGTCACGCTGGGCCCAGCTCGTTAGCGTTTTTAGCAGATTTTAAATTCTCACAGGTAGTGATTTACAGAGCTAAATCACCAAGATGTGGACTGGAATGAGGGGATTTACTCATTCTTTTCAATCGTGATAATTGTTCATTGTCAGTTGGCGTGTTTAGTTCTTCTCTAATTTGCGAAAGCATCGCCGTGCAGTTTCCCGGGGCAGTTTCTAACCTTTGTTCCGCACGGAGAGCAAACTCTTGTGGAGAAAGATTCTCCTTCCTCGAGGACAACGAAAAGTTCGTTTTTCAGTAGGTCGGCCCACTTTGGTAACGTTTCTCCTTTTCTGGTGGTCGCAACAAGCACATTTTCCGAGCTTATCCATCCACTTGTAAAATTGCCGAACTGTGTTTTGAAACAACAGCCGCACATTCTATAATTTAATTCCAAGCGCTCGGCTCTTTCGGCTTTTTCCCTCTTCGAGGAGCAGGCACAGACTTTGTTGACGTACTGCCACTTCCACTCATTTTTGATCCTCCACTATATATACTACATTTCACCATATACACTACATTTCACAGAGAAGCAACGCTAAAAACTGCTTTAGAATTACTGGATTACAGCGTCAAGATTCGAAGTCAAGTGCAGACAATAACATGCGCTATTCTCCCTCGAAATCAATCACCGAGGAGTCTATCTTTGTGTCGAGGGTCGAGGGTCGAGGGTTCCATGTGGAGGGCGAGGGTGCCATGTGGAGGGTCGAGGGTAAAATTTTTTTTTCCAAAATTTTTTTTTTTGGAAAAGGTAATAATCGATGCAATCAATGTCATTAAAACAAATAAGAAGAATTTAAAAAGCAAATGGCGCGTGAACATCTTCTAGTTGTTGGTTGACTGGGGAGGGTGGTGGAATAGAGAAAAGCTCCGGGACATCCATAAAGAAAATGTGATGTTGTTGTTGTTGTTGTTGTTGTTTAATTAAAATAGTACGTGGACATTCGTTATTCCCTTAAAAGTAAAGAACCTTCTCCCTTCCTGTGAAGTTAGACAGGTTGTGCCTAAAAAAATTGTCATAGAGCTTAGGCAGGGGCACCGAACGACTGTCTTCTGTAAAATATCTGTTCGGAGAAGCAAAAATTGCCTACAATTACTTGAGGAAGGCTAAAAATTTCTAGATGGCCGTTCCATTCATGTACAGTTTTCATAGCTTATCTAATTAATTCCCTACGATTTTTAAAGTTTAGTTTTTCACATTTCAGCTCCCAACTTAGCCTATTTTTCGTTGGAAAAGGAAATCTAAAATTTTCGGATTAGAAAATGCGATGGAGAGAGGAATCAGAAAAATCGCACTTTCGTAAAACCTAAAATTGCATCTAAAATTTTCGGGAAAATAATACTGAGGCCCTAAGTGATTTAGAAAAGATTCAAAGGACGACCGAACAGATGCAACTTTTATAGCGCCGCTTAGAATGCATTTCTAGAGATTTGAAAGTACTCTGGATAAGCGAAAAAGTGTTTTCAATGCATTTAGGAGGTAACCGTGGTTGGGTGCCCCTGCTTCGCGGCTTATATATCAGTCACGTCTGCCTCTTCTCTGCCTTGCTTGGCTGTTCAGTGGGGTAGTTTGAATATGGATATTTCACCGATTCTTGTTTTTTAAGCTATCCCACTGTATGCGACCGAATTGTAGGGACATTAATGTCATGCACTAAACTGGAAACGAGGTTTATTGCGTTTGGCTCCAGTCTACTTAACTTTGTTCCCGTAGCGGTCTTTGAGTAAAGCCGGCATCCCAGTTAAGTCCAAAAAAAATGGTAGCGTCATGAAGAAAGCCTTCACTATTATATACGGTCATAGTTTTCTGTACTGTACAGTTTAAATATAGCTAATTTATCATTCAATAGAGCTAAAAACCATTGAAAATGATGCGCTCGCCCTGTCGCGTTGGTTTTTTGATCGGCTATACAAAGAAAAATATGGCGCGTCTTACGCACTGGGACGGGAACTCCCCGTATAAATAGCATATTTAGTCTGAAATACAAGACTCAAAGTAGCTTCTCAGATAGACTTATCTAAGAAGCGACTTGCCTAAGAAAAACCTGTAACAAACGTACTAAGATACAACGCGTTACCTGTGATTTTAGCTCTAAAAAAATTGAGCACGATTTTTCCTGCTGGGTCAGAAAGTGTTTCGTGTCTTCTGGGTCTTTTGTTTTTATTTTTCAAATGTCCGTTTTTCGTTCTGTTTTTCTTTTTTATGTTGATGATAGTCTGCCGATCTTCTTCTTCTGGCCTTTCTCGGGTTTCTTCACTATTTTAAGGTAAAGGAGAGTTTTTCTGATTTTTTCCGCATCAAAAAGCGTCTTATTAATGCGACAGATCGCAGTTTTGAAACACATGAAATGCTGGATTGCCGTTGCTACTGGCAACATTCACACGAAGTAGGACGCAATGCGAATCATATATACATTAAACGAGCCGCGTCTTACATGCTCATTGTTCCTCTCAAGACTGATTTGTTCACCGGTCACCGGTTTACTTATTCATCTCAGCACATTAAAAATCTGGGTTAGTTAGGGAGCTTTGTTTATATCTACTTAATATAATAAATAGATTTGCAAATTATTTCACCAGCGCAGAAAGGCTCTTGGTCAGAGTGGAGGCCCTGTTCTAAGACTTGCAGCGGCGGAGTACAAAGCCGATTCCGAAACTGTACCCAGTCTGAAAGAGAATGGCATAACTGCACCAATAACAAAATATAGCAATCCAGACTTTGCCAGAATAGCCCATGTTCAGGTAGGGAAATGAGACTGTCTGTTACGCACGCGTTCGGTCAGAACTTGCATGAAAAAAGAGGTTAGTTCCCAGCTAAGAGAAACGCTGTTGCTCTTATCGACCGACATAACCGCCGTGACATCAGCCAAAAACCAGCTTTTGTAGTGGCGGATCCAGAAGAGGGGCCCGGGCCCTTATTTTTAGAGACCAGCCCCCCCCTTATCTAAGGGTCTGAATGACCACCCCCCCCCCCCAACCCCTTATCTTAAAGTCTAAATCCGGCACTGATTTGAAATTATTTTTCCTTTTTTTGTTAAGATTTTGCTATTAAATGTTACCAGTGTCATGGTTCAGAGGAGTATTGTCATCACAGCTTACTACAACGAAACCAAACCAGAGACGCTTGTAACAGAAATCACGATAGATGCATTTTAAAGTGGTTTGAGCTCGATACTGGAAATAAAGAAGTTACAAGGGGTTGTGGAAGCGAAGAGGAATGCAGATTGGCGAGGGAAAAATGCAACAGAAAAACAGTTTCCTACACAAAATGTCATGTGACCTGCTGTAGGCATCACTACTGCAATGAAGGCAGCTTGTTCAGCTGTCGGCTTCATAACGCACACTTTATAATTTTTGGAGTTCACATGTTATTGATACTTTAGGACACGTATGTAAGGTCATATTGGAGCTTAAGTACTTTACTGGATTGCAAGTGAGTTCTCCAGGGGAGGGGAGAGGGGCCGCGATGGAGAGAAAACGCTTTTTCCCCTCCCACCACCTCGCCCTGGCAGTTTGTTCATAGGCTACTACTTAAAGAGGCTATGTCACGTCCTGCGCATGTGCAGCGTACAAAAAAAACTTTAAACAATTATTTGAGGAAAGGCAAGTGTTGTCATAGCGAGTGCATTGACTAATAAAGCTTACCACGGCCTTGATTATCCAGGATATCACAAAGGCTCATCCAATAACGTTTATTTTTATTATATGCACACATGCCGTCAGTCATGCCTCCTTAATGTCTTGAAGCTAATGCTTCAATCGAGAAGTTACAGTGGGAGTTAGAAGGCTGTGTACATAGTAATTGAACATTTGGAGTATTGTAGCCGAAAAACGAGATTTTTTCAACTATCAGTTTAAAAGAACCAATCCTCTAAGAAAAAGGATGTTATCACAGCTATCCCAAAGCTTTCGGAAACTCGTAGTGCAGGCTTTATAATTGTGTCTGTTTCATCGATTGCACTATCCAAACTGACTTTACCAAGCTGTCTGAAATAGTTTCCAGCTTTCAGGTATTTCAATTGATGCGGTTTGGCCGTTCCTGATTAGACTGCAAAACAGTCAGGTTTTTTTCTGAAAATCAGTAAAGAAATCGGTAAAGCGTGGTGTTAGAGCGTATTTTTAGCGTCTCTCCCCACGTCTCGCTCTCTGTTTTCAGCCTCGTTCCAGACCTTTTGTTCGACTACTCGCGCGTACTTGAATACGCAAAAATACGGACTGTTTTGCAGTCTAGTTCCTCATTAGCTTTATTTCAACGGCTAATTCCTCAAAATTTGCTTGCATCTACTATATTTGGAGGGTGCGAGCAATATAATGGTATATTGCCAAAATATACTATTGCAGTCTCGTTTTCAAGCAGCAGCGCGGCAGCTTAGCAGTTTTGGAAAGAAGGAACTCAACGGAAGGGTGAAATAGTTGAAGGTTAGCGAAGAAGAAATACTAACTAAAACTCAAAAGACCAAATGCAATCATACGCAAATAATATTGCTCGGCATGATGGATATCATTAAAACACTGTTGTTTTTTTTTTGAGGATTTTAAAAGTGCAAGGAAAAAACAACAGTTCATTCTCTGTCTGTGCCGAGAAACGGGCCAATATTTTGAAGAAAGTCTGCGCGGATGTGAGGTTGTTACGAACTTAAATGAGAGAGAAAATTATTAAATTCGGGTTTCGTTGTATAAAAAATTATGCAGGTTCGGCAGTCGGTGGATAACATCCTCCTCGATCCTTTCATAATTCTTCGTAAGATACGAAAGTCGAATTCAATACTTAATTGTTAAGCCGTATGGCGCGCGTTAATATGCTACGGTCGAAACTTCAAATGTATCCCTCCCGGAACAGGCAGACGGAAGCTTCGACATGCTCTGTCAAAACCTAATGTTAAAGAACATTCGATATAATTTCACCTTTAAAACCTCCAATATATTTAAAAGGGCTACCGTATCAGGGGCACCCAACGACAATTTTTGGAAACTGATATCTGTTCGGAAGACGATTTGAGATCTGGAATTTTCGGCACATTTGTTGTTAAATTTCTTGCTTGCATGCCTCTCCTAGGATTTTCGAACCTCCCAAAAATGGTATAATTGCCCATTTTTAACGGATGTTTACCGTAAAAAAGTCACCTAGAATTTTCGGGAGCCTTTTTTCTGGCTGAAATTTTCGAATAGGTAAGTTTTGATGTATATAATTTTCGGATCACTAGACTTTCAGCTAAGAAATCCGAACAGATGAAAAATTTGGGGGGGATAAAAATATGCCTATTTCTACCGTTTAAATATTAAAATACGTTCAAGAATGCTATGTTTAAGTGGTTTTGAACTATTTTCTCGTTGGGTGTCCCTGACGCTAGCATTTATTTTAGTTTTTATGGCAACGTATCTACCTTCGTGGGATGCTCCGAATGAGCGTTGCTTGCATTGGCTCACGGATGGCGTTCGTGAAGCAACTATTGGTGCGATTTTTCATATGTGCTTACTTAAAGAAAGAGAAACAAGAAGGAAACAAATAAGTTTCAATGCATATCTGCCCCATTTTATTGGTGATTTCTTCACAATAGAATACTATTACATGTTCATTTATTTCGTTTATTCCCCAGACAACATTGATCCTCATGATCCAATAGCTTTTACATCAATTCTTTTTCATTTCATTCGTGATCCAAGACATCAAATATTTTACTTTGGCATAGACACCAAATTTCCCTTTAGCAGCACACCCATATCCCCAGCTTGTGGCCCCGTGAAGATAGTATCGCCCGCCAGTTTCACACACCATTGGTCCCCCACTATCTCCCTGACAGGAATCAATACCTCCTTGGTCTAGACCTGCGCAGATCATGGAGTCGTGGATCTTATTTGGGTACGCTTTGTCACAGCGGGCACGGCTTACTATTGGAACAGATACTTGCTGTAATAGTTCGGGGGTGGCCCCACCCGATGAAAGTCTACCCCAACCTGTAATCCAACACCGCTTCCCATCTGTTGGTGCGTTAACTTGATGAGGAAGACAAGCTTGATTCACGTACCTGGAAAAGATTTTGAGAAGCAGCAAATACAAATTCAAATGAATGATACAAAATCACGACGGAGATAAAACCTCGTGCAAATGGACGCAACATTGTTGGGAATTGTTGTGTCCGTTTCTCACATATCTAAAAGTTTGACCGGTTTCAAACTTTGCACAACAAATCCCAACAACACACAACGACATGCAACAGGGAGTGCAAGGCGGACACAACATGTAACATCCAACAATGTTAGTAGTTATGTTAGCAAACAATGATGCGTCCGTTTGCACGGGGCTCAAGATCCAACCACAAGGGTAGTTTCTTGGTTTCTTTCAGATGGACGCAATCACCAAACAAATCACTGAACAGTACCCTCACCATAACACACAAGCGGACCAACGATGGTTTCCGCCGCACCATTAGAAACTCACCACAAGAAACAAAGAAACAATTTTGAGTCCCAGTAAGTAAGCCTGTGACTAATTATTACAAAAAAATGAAAAAAACCTTTTTGCTCAAGAAGAACTAAAAAAACTACACCGGACTTGGTTGTTAGTAGCCTGCGTGCAGACGATAACTAAACTCTGATTAGTACCGTCTGCGAAGCAGCGCAGAGATCCTTGTTCTGGACCCCCAACGGACTCAACGAATTACCGGAAGTGCGTTTCGAATTCCCCTTCAACCTGATTGGCGATCACGACAAACAAAACAACGGCCTTTTTAACTGGCCAATCGTGGCGCGTACTCAAATCTGGGTACACAGCTGGAAGTCCAGAACAAGGATTTCGGCGCTGTTTCGCAGACGGAGTTAACCAGAGTTTAATTTCGTCTGCGCGCAGGCTAGGTTGTTAGCTGTAAACCTTTTTTGAGTAAGACTTTCTGAATTGAAATGAAGGGTAAATACTGAACCTGTTTAGCTGAGCAGGTCGTTCCAGTTTCAAGAGGGCGATATCATGGCTAAGCCTTTTAGGTTGGTGGTATGATGGGTGTGTAATGATCTTGCTGACTCTGAAATCCTGTTCGGTTCCAACGTCTGATGTTCGCTTATGAGCACCAAGCCTGCGAAGAAAAACATCTGCTTATCAGCACTTGTTACCTGCTGTGTTTCTGACATTGATTGTGTTGTGTGGTCCAAAGTTGTCCTGAGTCTGGAATACTTAACAGAAATGCTTGTAAGCTTTGGTAATTATTATCAGTTTTTTAAACAGCCAACTGACTCGGGCCAGTTATGGATGTTTTTATCCAGTACGATTGATTACAGTCGAAGCTCCCGTAAGCGACCACCCAAAATGCAAAGGCTTGGTGGTCGCTTACGAGAGTCGGAACGCAAGGGCGAAATTTTTAAGTCAACCTAGAATGGAGTGGTATATTTATTCTAAAAAAGTAATGAAGGTTTACTTTCCCCTGCCAGTTACTGGTAGTTTTATTGACATAATCATTAGCCATTCTATGTGACAGTTTATTTACGGAAATGTGCGTCATAAATTTGGGGTTAAAAAATTTTACTTGTGCATGTGACTTCTTGTACAGAAATGTCCCTAAGCCGTCTGACGAACAAAAACTTAACTTCTCAAACTGAAACCTGGAAATCTGAGTATTCATCTCAAGGGTAATGGTTAATATTGTTGTTATAGATCGTACTTAATAAACACAGTAATAGATGTGTAGACAATAATGACAGCCAAAGACTAAATTCCTTTTTGTCCATTTTTACAATGTACTCGTCACTGTTTAGTAAGACCATGTGTCAAGTGGTCGCTTACCGCAGGTTGAAAACGATAGAAAATTCTAAAACAGTCAGCCGTCGCTTACGGGAGGTGCTCGTTTACGAGAGGTTCCAGTATAAGGCTTTGACTGAGAACATGTTTGGTGTTTTAAGAAAGTGGTCGCTTATGGGAGGTGGTCGCCTACGAGAGGTGGTTTTTGTTACCTAAAAAGCTAAGGTACCTGCACTAAGTATTTTTTTTCTATGAAAAAAAAAACATAGTTGGCTTTCATGGCGATCTTAGGAGCTGGCAATATCTTACAGAGCATAGTAAAAACCAGCACCGTAGAATAGGACAACCAAGAAACAAGTCCATCTAGTGGCTGGTGGCGAAATTCAAACCATGGGTGCACAACAGGAAGAGTTTGACCGCTTACTTCTCAGCCACACTGCCACCTAAGGGTATAGGATAATGTTCCTGCATCCGACGCCACTTTAAAAACCATAAGGAGGCTGGGCCGAGTTAACTTTCGCAAAGACTTTTGGGACTGTTTACAAGTGGTATGGGGTGACAGTAACGATCTTGCATACAACTGAGGGCCGTATTTTGGCTCCAGATCCTTTTTTGTTTTTAAAGTGGCAAATATTTTTTCAAGAGTGGAATTAAGAAAAAAGGTGACAATATATACCGAATAAAGACTGAGCTAGCCGACTTTCCACTGACGCAGTGAGCGGCAGAGACCACCCACTGAGGAGATACGAGCGTGCCACCACAGTACGGGAAATTAGAACTGGTTCTTAACATCGCTTGCCATGGCCAACCTCCATGCTTAGCAGCCACGCCTCCAACAATTCGAGTAGATGGGCGAATACCGCATGAACCTATGAGCACATAACACAGGAGAGTAAACTCATAGTTGTGGCGGAAGGAGAAGGAGGGATGGGACATTTGGTTTAGTATATTGGTGATCCAGTCACTCCACCCTCAGGCTATACAGCGGTGATTTATGGTTGGTGCTGTAGGCTTGTGGAACAGGCTTCCTGAGGAGTTGAAAGACTGCTCTACTTTGACGTACTTAAGCGAATTGAAGTTTGCAAATTGTAATGAACAATCCTTGGCAATTCCTTAATTAGTTTATCTTATGAAACATAGCTTTTTGAACCTGAGGGCCATGTGTAGATTATCGGGAGATATTAAGTGCTACCTTCATAAAAGCTTTATTATTAGACTGTCTTAACCGACTTATGATTCATGTGATATACGGCTTTGAAGGTGGAACGCGGCTGGGGTATACGTAGCATTCTGCAATGTACGATTTTTCCTCATACCAGATGAATTTATTTCATAAGTAATCTAATTTGGTTGACTGTAGAAAGCAACTCCTTTCTCTTAGGGTTATTGCCCTTAAATGTCTCATTTACAAATGTGGTATTAAATTAGATTTACTTAGGCTTATAAATTCGACATCCCAGAACTATTTCCAGTCAATCTAGAATCCAGTATTGTCTGAAAGGGGAGGAAGCTGATATGTGCGAACATTGTGACTTTTTTTGCCATTTCCATTTTCTAGCATTCTTGTCACCTCAAATCCCAATGATCATGTCAGCATTCCTTAACTTTTGATTTAAAGGCTTTTTCTTGATTATTAGTGCTGGAAACCTTTGGAGTAAAATAATACTGACCTGATGGAGGAGCTGGTGTACTTGGTGGTGGTGGAGTACCTAAAAAAACAAAATTCCAAGAGGAAGATCGGTGAGAGCTGTTGATGCATTTGTCGTTGGTTGTTGTTATCCTGTCATTAAGAATTTATTTGCTTCGTTAATGTGCAGGTGAAGTTGAAGAGCACGGCCCTAAAACCATCTGAAACGCTTTTTTCCTCTGCAAAAGTTTCTATCAGTAAAGAAACTCAGAAATAACAAAAACGTTTCCGTTTAAAGCGGTCTTTGTGTGTTCGAGCAGAGTCACTGAAAAGGACTAGGGAAAAGTCATTGCAAACTGGGAGAGTGACATACCACATCCACCTCCACCTCCTCCTCCCCCACAGTTTTCTATCTTGACGTCATCGACGGCAATATCACCTTGCCATGATGTTCCACGAACACCTTCAAAAACGACCTGCAAAATAATTATATCTCGTAACATTCAGGTATTTTTCATTGCAAGCTATTTTTCTATGAGAAATATCGTTAACATCAGAAAAACCTAGTCCTTTCAGAAATACAGTTTATCTTGCATAAAACAGTAGTCAATTATGACAGAGTTTTCTTTTTTTTTTTTTTGTCATTACAAAAATTCTTAGTTCAGAAATACTGATACCCCTATACGTGCGCCCTATTAGATAATAGGCCATTTGCTGACGATGGCGTCATTTTCTTCTTCAAAGAAACTCCTTTTCGTCTTTTCTTTTATATTTATGATTTTGGTAATCCCAGCGAATCCCAGCGAGGTTTAAATAACAAAATCCCTAATTTGCACAAGAAAACCTGAAGGTCGTAGTCATCCTCGGAGACGCAGGGGCAATCAGTCGGGTCGGGAAAAAAGGCGGGACGAAAGTTTTCAAGTAAGGTCGGAAGAGCCCCTGGGTAACGACTCTCATGATCACCGAACTATTTCCAAAAATTCAAGCGTTTACCGGCTCCTGATTGGGCACAAAAAATTCTTTGTATTATTTTGCCCAATCGGCGAACTGTTTCTCCTGAGTTCTTTTCGTGAGTTCGTACACGACGGCTATTGTCAGGCCACACTTGCCCGGTTCGTTCACCAAGCTTTTGCGTACAAGGGAAACTTTTATTTTCTACTTTCCTAACCAGAAACAAAGGAGCTACCGATGAGTTGAAAAAACGTTTGGGTTACTATCAGCAAGAGCAATTGAATTTGCCCTGAGAATATTCTGTTTTTGACGGATCACAATTAAGATGCGGCGGCGATGAGAAATTCAAATAGCTTGACAAGACAAAACAACAATTTTGGACGTGCATCACGCTTTTTTGTACATTTCTTTGCCTTCAACTGCACGGCTACCCGTGAATGACCAATTTCACGTTTTGTGAAGGACGTAAACAAGCAATAACAAAATCATTCTCTCCATGAACTTTGATATGGTTCAGAAGAGTTTGCTTGCATTTGGCAGAGTAAGCGAGTTGAATCAGATGAGGATTTTACATCAAACTGAAAGTTTCCTGACTGCGAGCATTTCTTTGGTGCGTAAGCTAGACAAGTCGTGATCGAGACAATAGCCGTCATGTACGAACACACGAAAAGAACTCATTAAGATGTGTTCGCCGATTGGGCACAATAATACAAAGCATTTTTTGTGCCCAATCAAGAGCTGGCATCCGCTTGAAGTTTTGGAAATGATCCGGAGAGAGTCGGTACCCAGCGGCTCTTTCGTCCGTAATAAAAACTTTCGTCCCGCCTTTTCTCCCTACCCGACTGACTGCCCCTGGGTCTCCGAGGATGGGTCGTAGTAGTAAAATTACTGTATATCATGTATGCGGTTCATTAACATCAAAAGTAATCTTACGGATGTTGCTTTCTCTTGGACTTTGAATTCAGCCTTGTTCCACTTATCTCCCTGTGATCCTTTTTTTGAAAGCTGTTGCTTGCCATTCACAAGGACTTTAAGTTCATTCACGTCTCTACCCAGCATGTGGTAATAGAATGAGATACATGTTGCACCATTTCCCAACGAAGGCTTGATCTCCAGTCTTGCATTTTCACCTGGCAGGCGAGGACTTGATGTTTCAATGTAAATGTAGTAACCTATAAATAAACAAAAGAGCCCAAAATTCCGTTTATAAGAAGAAAACCTCTCCCTGGAAGAAGGGCCTTCCTCCAAGCCGAGTCAACTTTCAGCAAGCAGTTATATGAGAACAAAGTTGGCAGCTTTGTCCGAGCAAACAGCACTCGCGCATGCTCTGATTGTCTCGCCTTGACCGAGTTGACCTGGCTGAGCGAGCCAAAGTGTTTACATGTAGAAAAGTTAATTCGGTTTGGAGGGCGACCCTACCGTCACAAAAGGGTGACCCGGCTAGCGAGGCCAGTAAGCCTTCTAGCCGAGCCAAATCTATTTTTTTTCTCACGTAACCGATTTGCCATGTTTTGGTAACGAAATATATGAAAAGTTGACTCGCCCAGGGTTACTCTGGTAGCCAAGGGTAGCTTCTACTCGGGTCAACCTTTCTCCATATAAACGGTGCCTTAATTTGAAGGAGACATAAGTATGTTTGGTTAGAAAATGCCTATGAAACCTATTCAGAATCTAAGATCAAGCGCGTATTTAGAAAATATTTCAGCGTTTAAACTGACCTTTGCCTGAGTGGTCAGTATTAGGCCCTGTGCCTCCTGAAGGAGTGCTGATTTTTCTTAAAGTCCAGTCAAACTTATCATCTTTGAGTTGTTTAATTCCTTGACAGAGACGACCGTTGTCAAAGTTGCAGGAAAATGCTGGAAAAAGAAAAAAAATAATTCATATTGCTTTATCGTTTCGGCAAATACCAAAAAGGTATATATATAACTATTAAATTTATTAATATCTTGCTGTCATCGGCGTGGCAAATGTACCTAATCATGATCAAGATTTGACATTAGCTGCTACGACTGTTATCTCGTACATGGTCGCGGTTTTACACTTACTTTCAGATCTTGTATTTTCCTTGAGGTTTTGGATATAAATTGATTAGAAACAATTTACCTGATTCACGAACACTTTTGTCTGTTCAAAAATCAAATTTTTATTTTAATTTTTAACATGTTTCTAGTGCGCCTTTACTAGAAAGCATTTGCGCCTGCATGGCCTTGGATACGGGACGGTACGGGACGACGGAACACGACATCCAAGGCATTGGTCACATCTAGGTTAGTCACCTTAATTTATGCTTCTCGATTTCAATTCTTACCCTTCCTCACTGTGGCCTACTTTGCGCCGGCCATATACTTGAAATACAGCCTCCAAGAAGAGAAATTCTTACTTAACTTTTTTTAGCTTAAAGATCAATAATTAATACGAGTCTCTGAATGCTGGATTCTCGTACTTCTGTGGTACTGTTTGCATGATGTTCACGATATCATCTACTTAACAAACTTTTTATCATTTCTCAAAAAAAAAACTCTTTGCCCACTCTCTTAAATATTTCTTCGAGGCACTCTCGAGAATCTGAATAAGCATTAAAAGCACTTGATCGAGGTAGAAATATAGAATAATTAGTATAATTAGTATTACCCTCATTCTTACCAGCGCTCAATGCCGCCTGTGTCATGCAGAGTAGAACAACCAGCAACATTTTGATACCCATTTTGAGTTCAGTGAACTAGGTGTGACAACATCACCACATTTATACCGTGTTAATCAACAGAACACACGACCTTTTACACACATTGTTGGCACTTTTTCGGGCTTATTTAATTTCAGTAACAAAAGGGAGTCATTTTAAAAACGGAAAATATTCAGTTGTATTGAAACACGTGCTGTTTTTTAATGGCAACTTTTTATCTTATTTAAATAAGGTTAATTGGCCGGGTCAGGGCAAATGAGAAAATTGTTAAAACAACTGAGCATAAAACTAACTGATTACCAACACGGAAAACCAGCTGACCAGATGACTCAATTAAGTCAATTAAACCTCAAAATAAGAATAAACTTATACAAGAGCCTTTGTATCTTTTTGAAAGAAACCTGTCAGAATTAATGTAATCAGCCTTGTTATTGCTGAAATGCTTTGTTTGTAATATAGCCTTTTTAAATATCCAATTAAGATAGTGTAAAAAATAGAGTATTGAGAAAGAATTGAGAATTGAGAATTAATACATTACCACGTCAAAAATATAGAACGTTTTTAACTACCATAACGGTGAATGAGGTGCTGAAATTATAAAAGGGATTTATTGGAAACTATTTTAATTGATTTCGGAGACAATTTAAAATCTATTAACAACATAAAATAAATTAATTTACATTGAATGTTCATCAACGCATTGCTCCAAGTATAACCGATTGTTTTCTTATACTAAATGCCCGTTCTGCTGATATGTGAGGTTCGCGCTAAAATTTTAGATTTGTGGGACTGACATTATTAATAAGTCTTAAAACAATCTGTAGAAAGCTTTAAACAATGTAGCGTACAGCATATATAAAAATTGTAATATATAAAGCTTCAAGAATGAATGGAACTATGGTTTGACGAGTTATCTTTACTAAATTCCCGCGGGTGTACTCTCTCATATGGACTATACGAGGATGTGCCGCTGGACAGGGTACGGGTTTTGGTCTCTTTGACCTTAACAGGGTATATAATTTCGCGCAAGCCTTTCCTAAAAAGGGTATATGTTTTGATTTCTACAAAAAATTGGTTTGTTCTCCAACTATACAAAAGCAATGACTATAACATGAATATGCCCTACTGCAATTGCCAATAAATGGCTTTAAAAGAAGACGGCGTGCATTTTTTCTTTTGTCCTAAACAGGGTAATAAAATTGAGGGTGTTGTCCTTAACAGGCTATGTATTGTAGGATTTTTCTGTCCTAAACAGGGTCAGGGTATCAAACCCTCAGCCCAGGCCTCAGCCGCTCACCTATACCCAATTATTGGTCGAGTACCCCCCTGGGACTAAACACAAATTCACCCAAAAAACTAACCCTTGAACTGTACTTAATAACTTTACTTAATAACAGCCAGCTCAACTCGGTCAAGGCTAGATAATAGGGACCTTAAGCAAGGACAACGACTTAATCGAAACTTAATCGCGTATATTTGGACCCGCTCAATATGTAAAATGCAGACAACTTTTCCTGGAGTTGAATTCTTAAGGATTTCATTCAGGTTCAAAAAGAGGAAGGAAAATTCGCCGTCGAATGTCCACGTCCTCCATAAAACGTCGAATTAGGAGGTTTCACGTCAAAGAAATGTACTAAAAAGCATGATGCACGTGCAGAGCTGTTGTTGTGGTCGTCGTCGTAGTTGCTTAAGCTCCCTAATCAGGGCATGGCTCTGGCAAAGCGATCGACTTTTTCTCATATAAACGCTCAATAAAGTTGGCTCAGTTAGCTTGAAGGCGTGACCCATCTACCCGGGACAGGTTTTTCCACTTAAACGGGCCATAAATCTTTTATTTAGTTAGTTCAGGTTATAAATAATTAACAATTATTCCACAATTAATTTATTTTTCTTTTAACTGGTCCGCCTAGATTAGCAATTGCTATTTTGCGGGCCAGTCTATTGTAACCAATAGTCTTATGAAATAAAGTTGAAGTTGAAGTTGAAGATGGTAGATAGCCCCGCCAGGCGCGTAGCGCCGACGTCATCTCATATCCAACAAGCGCGAACAATTGTTCTATTAAAAATGCCCACAAAATATCAAGAATTCTTCCCGACTTTATTTGTAAAAACAACCGGTTTTCAGCTTGTTTTTAATTTTGGGCAGACGCGTACAGTTATCATATTTGGAGACCCTGGTATAATGGCTCATACACCATGATGGCTAAGCCAATCAGAGCACTAGAATTGCTCATTATTATTTTTGTTTTCATTCTGATTTGCAGTTTCGAAGTGTTGTGTCAGTATATATAGATGATATGGCCTTTGAACTGTTTCAGATTTTAAATTTGTATAAAGTTATGAAGTCATGAAAACGGACATTCACAGTTGGTCCAAGACTGCGCCACAGAGGAAACTAAACTCCGGTTAAGTCTGTTGCTAACCGATGTTAAATTACGGCTACGAAGCAGGCTAAGCTGGCCCCTACAGTTTTCTAATTGTTTTCTCTGTCTTTTGTATTACGCGAACATCATCTATTTCAGACGGGCGACTAGAGACGATAAACCGCCTTTACTTAGCGTCCCTCCCTTAATCAGAGCTCTGCACTATTTCCATTCTTCTTCATTTTTTGTTAGTGTGCTGTTGGCTTCAGCTATAACAACAGCGTGTGTAAACGAAAAGCCTTGACGTGACTATTTATTTCACCAAAAAAGCAACTCTTTTTAATAAATGATGAAGACTGTATTCTAACTATTCTTTGCACTTACTGAAATAACAAATTAAATGTAAATCCCCAGCTAGCCGAATTTGAATTCATACGCGACCGTTTTGAAATCTTGACAAAAGAATAGACATAGATTGAGCTGACGCTAAAGATATTTGCTACTGGTTTTTACTCAGGCCTGAGACTCATAACCTGACCTAACCCCCACTCTAACCCTTACCCACACCGAAAGACAAGTAACACACTATAATCTATGCAAATACTTGAAAGTTACGATCAAGCAACTCAGTTGTCAATGTCCAAGGTATTATAGAATTCTCGAAAATCCAGATGGGTAATCCGTTCGAACTCGGAACTTTGCAGCGTGTACATTTAACGCAACCAAGCGATAAAGTTCTAAATAGAAGCCAGACTGGCAAATTCGTCGGGCTGGTGTTAAGACTATAGTACAATTTTATAGATTTTGATTCTAAATTTGAAAACACCGAGGCCGGGTCGGTTAAATAGTCGGGACTTTAAAATAATAAGTTACGGAAAGTTAATACTTTCTTTGTTTACTAATTAAAGTCCCTCTCATGTAGCCATGCATTCAGTATACAAACACTTGGCAGACCTAATGGTTGTTTTTTTTTTTCAATTTGAGCAGTGCAAATGTTCCTAAAAATCCTTTTTATTCTAATGGATAAAAATTTAAATAGCTGCTATTACAAATGTTAATAAGCTACTATTTTTGTACGGCTTACTCCTTAAGTGTATTTACATTGCCTAAGTGTGTACTTTTTGCTTTTCTACTTCAGGCAGCTGGCATTTGAACTGTGTAAACGTTTATTAACAATATGCAGAGAGGACTTCAAATTTAGCCCTAACAAATTACCCAGTCCAAAGAGATTTAGAGTAACGTTTACGGCAAACGTCAGATTCAAGTTGACAATTTCTTAAAATAGAAAACGTGCAGCTAAAAACAATAAAAAATAATTTCTTGATATAGATGAAACTTTGATGAAACTAACTTGAAGCTACTAAATTTTGGGTTAGAAATAATGAACAGTAAAGCACAAGTTAAGGAGAAACGTGGTCGCTTGGTACAATTTCACGTTTGCATGCCTTTTGCCATTAAAATTTCTATATTTTTCTAGACCAAAAATACTCAAAAGTTTGCATGGTTAATATGACTGTCCCAGCCATACAACAAGAACCAGCCATAAAAATTCTGGTTGACCCCGATATTCTTCGCCAAACTTAACAGGGCTCGAGACAAGGTTTTGTTGGACTCCTTCACGCTTAAGTCATTAAAACTTGTAAGAAGAAAAGAAAACTGTTCAGTCTCACTCTCTTCTATCCTTTCCCTTAAGTGTCTTTCGGGTGATGCCTACATAAAGGGGTATAGTAAGTCGCAAACCACGATCATAGAGATTCGCTGTTCCCACCTGCTTCAGGCAACAAAATCAGATCGAACTTATCCGAGAAACCACCCGACCA